TATATAAACTGGGGGGAGTGGGCCGGGGCGGGGGGGAACCACTGCTTGGGAACTGGCTGGGCATTGGTGGGTGGGTGCTGAGTAATTGCATTGTGCATCACTTATTTTGTATATTCTTTTATCTGTATTATAACTATCTTCCCTTCCTTTTCTGTCCTATTAAACTGTCTTTATCACAACCCACAAAATTGACTTTTTTCCCCCCCCAATTCTCTCCCCCATCCTACTGGGGAGGGGGGCAGTGAGCAAGCGGCTGCGTGGTGCTCAGCTGCCTGCCGGGTCAAACCACAAGGGCACTGGAATGCAAGGTAAGACCTACACCTGCACTGGTGTGTGGAAGGAGTGAGCAGCAGGACTGCAGGGCTGGCAGATGGGAAGGGGAAGGGAGAAGCACGATTCTCCCTGTTGGCAGGAGCAGAATATCGATTGGCTCAACTCCACACGAACACAAAGTCTTTATCATACCGCTCTCAATAGATCCACTTGTACAGTTCAGGGCAACACGGATCCCTCACCACTTGAGTACAGGCCAGAGCAGAGAATCAGATTCTTTCTGCCCCACAGGAAATGCAGTACAACTCAGAAATGCTTCTGTGCACGTGATGATAAAAAAAAAGCACTCTTTAAACAAAAGAGGTTGCATACTGCCTGTCAAAAAGAAAGCCTAAGACATTCTAATTGAAAGACACACTGCAACAATTTCCTGCCTACCTACCTGTTGCCAATATTATTACTGCACATAAAAGCGTAAGGACAGGGACAATGTTGACTCTAAGAGCAGCTGACAATCCTCATCATCTATATATCAAGCTCATCAGATCTGAAGGTCATGTCATTAACTTCCTTGACTTAGCATGCAAACGAGCTAATACTTGATATTGGGGGGTGTCTAGATATTCCTCTTGTACAAACTACAACACTTGGCAGACAGTGACTGAGAAGGTGGTTTTGGGATTGGTGTTGAAGGGCCATTTCATATGCACTCAGATACTACTGATGGCTTTAAAGTACAAAACCAGCTCTTTATTTCTCAACTACAAGAAATGACTGCTAACAGCATGCCTATCTAACTCACACATGAATATCCTAAGGAGTTTGACCCTATCAGCTATCACTTTCAAACTTTTCTACTTAAAAAAAAAAAACAAAAAACCAAACAGCCACAAGGCAAAGATGTAATTGACAAAGAGAACGTGACCCTTGTTGGAAGCACAAGCAAAAATCTGATCATGGCTGGACAGCTGAATTCAGAGACTTCTGTTTGTAGCTTATCCAGCTCACACTACCTCTACAAATACATCACTACTGTCACAACATATCACGGAAAACAGATCGTTGGCATCACTGACACATCATAAGCAAATTCTAATTACTTCTTACAGCCAATAAATGGTTCTCCAAAGTGCTAAGTAAAGAAAAAGAAAGTATTTCAAGTTACATAAGATAAGCTGTATTTCAAAATCAGTGTGGATTCAGCTGCAAAGCAACCACTACTATTATTTGTTAGGATGTTATTTCTTGAAGATATGTGGCGGTTCATTTACAAATGCCCTGAGACAAATGGGAATAGCACTAAACCCTTCTCCATAATTAAAAGGCACTCCTTTGTGCTTTTGTAGATCCAGCCATGATAATGAAATGGGGAATGTGGCTCACCACTAATCCTGCTGCACCATTCGTGCTTTGGCAGATTACCCTATACACCCAGACTTGCTTTCAGACTGCAAAAAAATTTGCAACTATTTCGCAGCTGACAAAGAAAGCCTGTGTCGTACAGATAGCAGGGGAAGTGTAGTCAAACAAACAAAAAAAACTTAGTACAGCCAAATTTACCTGGACATTTTCTGTCTTTCCTTATACACCTTCTGCTTACATTCTCTTCTCTGTTATTAGCCACTTTTCATTTTTCAAACACACTCCCCTTTCATTTCTGCATCAAATCCAGTATTGTATATAGAGAAAAAGCAAACCAGCAAAAGTCCTAGTTTTCAGTTTTCCTCTGTGCACTTCATCCCTCTACAGCCTTTCACCCCCTAAGGCCTGACCATACCCATTCTCGCCTCATCTAGGCCAGAGCGGGAAGAGATCTAGCATTTTGCATCCTCTACAGGAGTTAAGAATCAGTCTCTTCCATTCTTGTCTTGCAGTTACTACATCAAGAAGGGAGAACTCGTAACTGACTTGCATCTCACAGCAAGCTGCGTTAACAGCACAGCAAAGGGAACAATACATCTCATGGGAGCCTGCTGTCAGGCGTTCAGAGGCAGAAGTCAGGGACCAGCCTGGCTTGCGCACAGGAGGTAGCTTGTTGAGGCAAGACAGAGACAGTCTCAGCACAGACAGACGGAGGGTTCGTCTGCTGTTCTGCCCCTCTGTTTGCACCTCCCTTTAACTCCGCAAAGCCAGGGGGCAGAGCCCACTAGAGAGGACAGTTTAACAAAAGTCAATCATCATCTCCTCAACGTTAGCAGCAGTCACCAGGCAGCGTGGGAAGGTGCCGTGCGATTTGCAAGCATTATTGCAGGCTGCCTGAAAGTCCAAATATGCCACAAATGCAGCCGAACAACTTAACTACAGGGCAACACTTTCTTACTTTGCTGCCACTCCATTTAATTTAGCACATGGTTTTACCCAAAGACACGCTGCTCGGGCTTCTGCATATGCACAGGAGAGTGCATCAGAGCTCCTGCACACCCGTACAACGCCCTACGTGCTCCAAAGGCTCGTAGAGGCCACAGCCTACAGCTCTGCTCTTCTCAAAGCCACGGAGAAGAGCTTGTTGGATGTGTTGCAACCACCACGGTCCTCCACGTGGCTCCAGCTGCAGGTGCCCAGCCGGTGCCCTGCATCACCTGCATCTCCTCCCCGCTCCTCTGCTACAGCGGGCCCTGCCAGGCTAACAGGGACGCTGCACGTGCCTTCCAGCGCCTTAAACTACGAGCACTTCGGGTTTACCTTCTCACTGGGTTCAGTGTAACAAAATATCGTGGGCACAGCGTTTTCCTTCAGAAGCTTGTTGTTGCATTCCCGTTTAAAGCAATCGGGAGTGAAGTGTTCTGAACAAATGCTGCTGTACTTGGTCGGCTTGAAGTTTTTCCTTTTAACGGCAGCTTCCCATTTCTTGCAAAGGTCGGGTCTCGTAAGAGGAAACCTGTGAATAAGAGGCACTTTCAAGCTTTTCTGGAAAGCGTTTTAACACGGGAGAGGGGGGGACGGGACGGGGACGGACGACGACTACGGCGCGGCACTGCTGTGCCCGGCGGCACGATCGCTCGGGGTTTCCCCCTGACGGGCCCGTCCTGGCGGCC